AGTAGACTGCAGAAAGGGGATCACCTGAAAGTGATCAATGATCTTAATTATTTTAATTAAGTAATATGGATTAGAATGTTAGAACCAAAAGTTAGACGAGGGTGATCCCAAGAAGTCATATGAGTCAGGACCTTGTTTTACACCAAAAGAAACAAGGCCCACAAACAGGTGATGAAATAACATAGCTTGTTCCTGGTACCAAGACTAGAATACATGCTAATTGACATTCTGTTCTAGTATTCTTCTCTGCACTATGTAGTATGATTAAAATTGAAAGAGATTAAAGATAGGCAAATTTGAGACTGGAATATAGAACAGGATGGCTTGGAAAGAGAACAGAAAGGATCAAAGCAGTTAGGAATTTCCCTAAGGAAAATTAATAGCAAATTAAGAGACGGGCTGGTGATGGAGAAGTGGTACTCGTATGAAATTTCCTAAGCAACAACTTTATCCAGAGCCAATGCTACAGCTATATTGCATTTTAAAACATTAAACCTATTCTTCAGACTCCCTGACAAAGTCAAAATGGTACGGATGATGGCTTTTCAAGGTTACATCCTTTCATTTACTCTCGATGGCTGTTTTATAATAGTCAAGAGAATTCTGTACAATGCTTTATTTTAGCTTTGTTCTCATTAAAGTCTCATAAACTTAATTACTTAATATTCCTTAAGAAACACAGCTTGAAATAACACTACAAAAATTTAGTAGTTTTATTCTAACTTTTTCATTCTAACTTTTATTCTTCATGAATCTCCTAAAATTGCATTTCAAGTACCACTTTAAAAGAATATTTTTTGAATTCTATATGAAGTTATTTTGAAGTATTTTCTTATTAGCATAAACCATAGCTTTAAAACTCCAAAGATATTGTTATAGGTATACAATATGAGGTATATGATACACACTAAACAAAAACCTATTGAAATTGCACTTACAATAGATTAATATATTAGCCTGCATAAACAAAAAATTAAAGCTAGAAATTTTTTAAAGCTGAGTCTTTAAAGAATTTTAAGTAAAGCAAACTAGAAATAAAAATATTTTTTTTCAAGTTCAATATTTCTTGCTGTATAATGTGATTCTGAAAATCTTCTGTAACTACAAACTACAGGGCAAAGTCTGATTTATTTGAACAGTTAATCATCTAATATTTTTTTCTTTTTTTACTTCCATGACTTTTTGAGCATTTTCTCTTAAATAAAATTTCTACCATAATATAGGTTCTAAGCTACAAGTTTGCCCCATTTGCCATGGCAGCAGACAAAAAGGCAGGTCTCCAAGCCCATTTGTGGGGCCAGGAACAAGTCTAGTAATAGGAAGCAGGAGAAACACAGGTAGCAACAGCAACAAAGTCCAGCAGCAGCAGCCCCAGTGAGTGGCCAGTGAGTGACTGTGTAGGGCCATAAGAGGCCATTAAGAAGTCTGCTGATGGCCCCTATTAGCTTTTTTTTTTTTTAAGGTTTATTTATTAATACAGAACAGGGGCACAGGTCAGAGATGCAGGGCAGTGAGAGGATTCACCAGAGACAGAGTTGGGAGCAGAACAGGCCAACTGACAAAGTACACTGCTGAGCGGAGCAGCGGATGGGTCAGGAGAGGTCTGCAGCGCCATGTGGATCACCTCCGGGGCAGGTGAGGATCGAATTCATGCTGAAGTGGTTTTAGCTTCTTAGTGCTGTGCTTTAACCTGCTGTGCTACCAGGGAGGGCCCGCCCCTATTAGCTTTTACATGATTTATAGACACAGCCAGCATATACTTATGTAAGCCTCATTTACATAAGTATATTTCCCACATGGGAACTGTACATCAAGGTCACATTATTATTTACTGTTCTCTGCACATGTGCCCTATACCTCAAGGCTACATGTTATCTAGGAGGCCACCTGGGTGGAAGGTCACAGCAAAAATGTCTCAGAAACTAAGAAAATGTTTCCTAGTCTCTACACATAACCTGAGGATTTTACAAAGGCTACCCCTTGAATGCTCAGTCTGTCTTTTACGTCCCCATCCTGCGTCCTGATGAAACTGTAGTTATAGTTGATAAGAATTATATTTAAGATGTGCTCTAAAATATAAATGGTAGCACTTTAGGAAAGACTAAATATATACATTATTCAATAATGAACAGCTGACACATATGATGACAACAGATCAGTGCTTACATCCTGGATTAGATAACCAACTTTAACAGCCAACATTTTAATAACTGTCTTTCTCAATGTATCTCAAATGCACTCTATTAGAAAACATGACAGTCCAATTATTTCCATGGCCCTTAGCATTTTATGGTGGCCTACTGCCAATAGTAGAATATGGGGTGGAAAATGAGCCAAAGTAGTAACTGATTTTAAAAGCTAAAACATGGCTAGTGATGAAGATTTAGAATTTATGTGAAGCTTTCTGACCTGAACCTATTTAAACTCATAAGCAACTACATTGGTACCTACTTTAGTAACTCTCCTAATATTATGTTGGGGGAAAAAAAAAAAAACTGCAGGTATGTCAATTTTGCAGCTAGAAATCAGTAATATCACTGTAAATTATAAAGCAATTAAAAAACATTGGTAATCTATTTTTACAATGATCTGGTCAACATCACTAAATCTAGATTATAAAGATATTCAGCTTTCTAAATAGGGAGAAAAATTACAAAATTTGGGGAAAATACAAAAATTTACCTAACCTTGGCTTGTACAGGATTTTTTCTTGCCACTTTATAGCTAGTATGAACAACATAAATAGGAAAGTATAATCTGTTAGTCCTGGAAAAGTCTAAGAGGACCTTAGAACTAAACCTAACAAAACGGTGCACAATAGGAATTTAATGCAGGTATATCGAGTAACAAAATTAATGAATAAATAAGACAGTTGGAAAAGGAACTTGAAATCAAAAGAACTAGGTTCTAGGCTATGTTGCCACCAACTAACCACACAGTGGCAAATAATAACTGTGATTTATGAAATGCTTAATAAATTTGAACACATGCAATACATTCTAATTACAAGGTAAGTCCTAGCATCATACCCATTTTACCAACAACTAAACCGAGAGTAAGAGGAATTAAGTGCAGAACAGGGAATGCTAATAGCTAATACAGCTCGAATCATGAGATTTGAGATATACATGATATAGAAAATATGATAGCCCAAAAGTAGCTCTCTTGGGGGGTGTCTGTCGTAACCCAGTGGTGATCTTTGCTTCATTATAACACCAAGAATTATGCCTAGGTGTGAAGATATAACACTATGTGATTTGTGACCTATGTACAGGCATGTAATAGCAAAGTGCATGCCAAGACTTATGCACATAGAACCTGAAGAACATAGAAACACTCTTCCCAAAGTTTTATAACATCATCTCACCTTAAGCTCTAGGAGAAAGATGGTTTTGAAACACAATTTTCCCCTCTAATGTCAAGTCTTAAGAGGAAAGATCTTTGCCTTCCAGAACCTGTTTGATGGGTCATTGGCTTTCATCATCAGGTGAATGAACATTCCTGCTTAGAAGACTGGTATAATTTTCATTTTAGTTAGTTACCCCTGTAGATATTTTGTAAATTGAATTCTAGTTTATGGCTTATACTTTGAGAATGTCTTTTAAAGAGTTTTCTTTCTCAACTTTGTAGAAGTCTAAGTATTTGTCATATTATCATTTGTACCTTTTTTGGTTCAGTGAACCAAAAGCCTCAAAATATCATTTATTTTCTATATATATTTAAAATAATTACTGTGTACTTGTCTTTGATTTCTGTTCTTGCCTCTCAGACTTGATTTTTTTCTTTACAAACTAATCCTTGAAGATTTTAACTTTTCAACAAAATTTTTTAAACATCTTTAATTTTTCACAATATAGGGTGTCTCTCCTCAGGTTCCATGTTGTTTCCCCACTACCAAAGTGACACTCTTCTTCCCCACCTCATTCTTTACTTCCCTGTCTCTCTCCCACTCCCCTCTGGAGTATCTCAGTTCTATGGTCAGCTTTCAATTGTTAGTCTTATAATTTACCTTTGTCTGATCTTTTGCTTAGTTTCTCTGGATTCCACATACAAGTAAAACCATTTGAAATTTATCTATCTTCTTCTGGTTCAACTAGCTTAGCATAATGCTTTCCAGTTCCATCCATATCACTGCTAGTGGCATGCGTGTATCTTTTTGATTGCTGAGTAGTATTCCACTTTATAGCTGTACCCCCACCTCCTTGATCCACTTATCAATTATGGGACATTTAGCTTGTTTCCATAGCTTGGTTATTGTAAACAGTACTCCTATAAACATAGTAGTGAAGGTTTCCTTTTGAATTGGCATTTTGATACTCTGAATAGATGCCTAGAAATGGAACTACTAGGTCATATAGTAAACCCATTTTAGCCCTTTGAGGAATTGCTACAATTATTAACTTGTGTTCATTTTCAAACTATCCAGAAATACTTCTTGTTAAAATTTTGGTCACTTCAATACACAAAAGACGACTGGAGCATCTTGACTCCAATTTTGTTCAGTGATCTCATCTTCCATTGTCAGTAATTCACTTTCATTATCATTCTCTTCCAAAATTTTAATTTGAAGCAGTTAAGTGAAACTATTTTCTAGTAATTTCACATCCCTCTCATGCACTCCAAAACAAACAATTGCTCAACACACAAGAACATATAATAACTTGATCCTGACCCTTCACAATGAGTGAGAAAAGCATATAATTTGCTAAGTCATTTCTTCACCACTGTATCATATTTTCCTTGTCCATTCACTCCTTTAAATTATTTCATTTACTCTAATTTCATAAAACCTGCAAGATTTTAACCATCCTGTTAGCTAATGACATTTCCTATTTTGCTGAGAAAATAACTTCTAGAATGCCCATCTTCTGTCTCCATTTACATTAAAAGCTAAAAAAATTCACAATGGTAACTCTACAAACCACCATATTTTCACTTTAATTCACCAAGCAAATTGCTGTGTTATTGTTCATAGACATTTCTTATTTATTAAGTGAAAACAAAAGACTTCTGGCTCCACTAGATGCCATTTTACAAAATGTCACTGTTATTTTCTAGATCTTACTTCAGTCACCAATCAAAACCACCAGCAAATATTATGAAATTATTATAGTTCCTTCTCCATTTGTATTTCCAATTAGTAGGAAAGTGTCTAAATGAAAGGTTTTCAGTTTTTAGGAACAAAAGCAATAACCCAAGAACAGTGTTGTTTTTTTTTCTACCTAAATGAAGAAATAGAACATATATTATACATAAACATATATTATAGCTTCTGTGGAAAAGCTTTTCAAAATTAAGTTTGAAAGTAGGCAAAGATTTGTGTTGTGGGTCCTAAAAGTCGTACTTAACTCATATCAAAGCTAAAGTGAATGATAAGTCAAATTAACTTGCTCTTATTTCTTTTCTCAATGGTGCCCTTTTGAACACCATTACTGACGAGTTATTATTGGTATTTACAGCACAAAATCTGACTTTTGAAATTTAAGTTGCAATAGCCTAAATATCACAAAACTGTAAACAATATGGTGCAAGTTGTTTTATTATACTAAAAGTTAAAACAATTTTGTAGATGAGCCATTTTTGGCTGGGAAAAAAAATTCAGAATGGCCTTTTAGGGGTTGATGTATACTAAATATGAGCAATACAAAATGACCTCTACCCAAAATTTTAAAAATATGCTGAAAGTGCTGATTGAAAAATCATTTACTTTTGTATTACCTTTTATATATTAAATGTGACAGTTATAAGAAAATAGACCCTTCCATATTACATTAATCTTATTAAGCAAACTTCTATTTAAATAAAATGAAAACAATATTGTTATTTACAATAATTAAGCAAGCTAGTTTCCTTAACATTTTCAAGTTCAGAATAAATCAAATCCATCACTAAGGAAAATGTGTAACAACTGAGGGTCAAATGATTATCAGTATGAAATAACCAAGCTGTCTTCTAAATGAACCATGCAACAACCACATTTCAAATGAAAAAAATATAAATTGATAATATCAAAATGAATTCTTACAAAAACAATCACATCTCAGGATGTAACATAAGTAGTTATGGTTTTCTCTATTTTCCTCTCTATATACAGTCACCAAAAGTGAAGAAAACAACTATCTTAGCCTTGTTCCCATGACACTCTGTCCATTCAAATGATTATGTACAGTACTGATATTTCTTCCCAAACCTATTGGAAAAAATATTTTAATCATCTGGTCAAGGAAATGTTGGTTGAGAAGTTCTTAAATATAAGGAATCATTAGTTAAATCTGATTTTAAAACAACTTTACAAAACAACAAATCTGAAAAATTGAGCTAATGCCTATTTGTATATATTATATATAGATAATGCCAAAAATATAATTAGATAGTTGGTCTCAGTATTGATTTACAATATGTGCAGTCACAAAATGTGCTGCTATGGATGCATCCTTTTTGTGTGGACAATCAAGGTCTTTATTTCCTTTTAAAGTCAAGCTGTGCTTTCCAGGACCTATGAGCTTTGCACTCTAATATTCCTCATATCTCTTAATAGCACTGGTCGGTAGTTTTGCTCCAAAATTTCCATGTATTCAAAATAATCACTCACTCGAAATCCATGCACTGCTTCTTCCTGTCAAAAATTAAAAAGAGAAGTTCATTCTCCTGTCTTTATTCTTGCAAATAGATATACAATACTAAATTAATGGATTTTGGATATCTGATGAATTTTTTTTCCACACATGGTTTATATAGTACTAGTAAAGTATAATTATTCTTTATTGAGTAGGCTGTGTATGTATTTAATAGGAAGAAATCATTAAAGAACATTGTTTGTTTTCAAACCAAAGTGCTTTTATAGTTAACAAAAATTCCTACATAATGAACTCCTGCTAATGTTCTGGATATAATATTATGACTGTTAACATTTGCAACTTGTAAAGACCCTAAGCCTTACCTAACAATACTATAATAATACAAGAAATTCTGTTCTACAGCTATTGTTCATAAAGCCTTCAACAGCTTGCAATTCACAATATCATTACTATGCATGTCTGTACAAACTTGAAATTTAATGGCTAGTACCCAAACTGAGGGACTCAAAAATAAAAAAGAACATGGAAATCCATTTAGAATTTTAAAGACTTTTAGTGAATTTTTTGACTATTCATTTTAGCAACTCTACATACTTGTTATGTATTACCTAGACTTCAAAGTAACAGTAACAAAATTCTGCAGAAGAAATACCATTCTTAATTATTTATTACATTAGGAGACTGGAAGAATGTAAAAATTTTTTAAACAATTCATACTGTTCAAATTAGTAACATTTAAAGGCATGAGTTACAACATAAATCAAAAATAATTTAAAAGAATAAAGACAATATATTACCATGTACAGATATTTTTTCAGAGACTATTCATGGGAGATATCAAGGCAGGGAAGCTAGGAAAATCTCAAACAAAGCTAGTAAGAGTGGATTTTTTAAAGTACTTGTATATCACTGGCTACTTACAGGTTAATAATAATTTACAACTTTCAAATAAATAACTTGGGAGAACATTCCACTTATTTTGCCACATATTAGCTTGAATCATGTGATTTGGGGGAAACGTTAATTGGTACTTAAGAAATTTACTAACCAATTAGTTTGAGATTATCACTAGAGAAATTAAAGTTACTGCTTCATAATACCATTACACCATTACACCATTAATACCTTCCAAAATAAAAATTTCAACTCCTAATTTCAAAATAATTGTGATGTTATCCTTTCTTTCATTTTTTTATTCAACAGGCCATTCATTCCAATATTGTTAGTAAGGTTTTTGGCTATATAATGAACACATAAAGGTGAATAAGACAGGCTAATGTGTATATTGAACTTCCAAGAAAGATCTTGTCTCTGGTTTTCTGTATAAGCCACTGTTTCAACGGGAAGATGTCCATCTAATGAATAACAAAAATAATCGGTCTTGTAAAATTTTCTCCTACAAAAAGTATTTTATTTTGTTCTTTGTTTAAGAAAATAAAAACAAAGTAAGGTCAACCTATCTTACTGCTCAAGAATTCACTTTAAACAGTTGCCTGTTGTAGCCAGGGAATTAAGATGACTTTGTATATTATCTTCATTATAACTATGTGTGATTTGATGAACAACTCTTCACCAAAAGTAAACCTAAATTGGATAGGAATTAAACTAATATGTTATTCTAATAAGAGATAAAAACCCAATGCCAGAAAAAAATTGTTTTAGTACATATTCATGATTTATAAAAGAATGCTATAGTCATTAAAAGTAAATTACAATAGGAGAAGATAGTATCTGAACAAAACTTTTAATCTTTCTGGGCAAAAAAAAAGTGTAAAATATTTTTAAATTATTGTACAATTGAAGAATAAGAACTACTTATGGATAACTATGGCTATTACTTGGTTTTAAAATATTTTTTCCATAGCATGTATTTTTTAAAATTATGACTTCTATTGTGGGCACTAATTTTAAAATAAAGAGAAAATACCCTTATGAATACACTGAAGAGCTACCCATAAAGAGAGCAATAAGGCTATTAAGGTCTCATTTCAAAAATTAAAATTAAATATTCATTTTAAAGAAGCATGTTTTAAATGAAGTATTTCATTATTTAAAATTTACATGCAATTTTAGTCTGAATAAAATTTAGAATCTCTGAATTCTACTTACTGTTCTCAAAGTGGGATATTTTTCATTTTATCCTAAATGTTCTCTAATGACCTTGTAGTGGGTATCTTTCCTTTGTAAGTATGACCATTTAGACCGACAGATTATTATTCAAGTTATAAAAGATCATTTCCTTATTTCATTTATAGAAGTCTACTGAACTCTAAAAACATGAATTCCCTTATTCTTTAAATAGGCAGAATAATTAAATAATATAAAGCTTTCCATTTTATATAAAAATGCATTACTTGTTCAAAAAAAGTTTATTATTTAAAATGGGTGTCCATTACAGCAGTTTGTTAGAGTTAATTTTGAGCACAATGAATTTTTCTTTTATACTCATTAGCTTTTCAACCAGTGTGCCTAATGTTTTGCTTTTATATTAATTCTGGGTTTCAAATATTGAATCATCAAAAAACATTAAAAATTACCATTCTAAATCACCATACTGTCTTTATTCTGTATTATGATAGGGCATATACACAGCTTCTCTCTATTCTTTGTATATAGAATTCAGTTTCAAATATAAATTTATTGAATTGGTAGTGGAGACATGGAGAAATCATATAATAAAAACAATAAAACTTTTGGAATAAAAATAAACATGAATCTACTGTTTTTTACTACTGAGAATATTAAAATAGAAGGCCCACAAACACTTTTTAAAAGTATTGATTAGACTAATAAGCCTAATCAATAAAACACAATTTAGTATACTAGAAGCAGCACAGGAGTTAAGTTCAGACAAAAAATGGGGCCTGTTCTGTCAGTTTGAATGGAAGATATGGTCTTTCGGAGGTATAAAGATACAAAGCATAAAATTATCAAGTGTAACATTATAATTCTTAGTTTTGAGATTTTTCAGACTAAGTTTAGGTATTTTCTATTGTATTCTTTCCCAGAAATTTAACTATTAGTATATTTGAAAAGTGATTTTAAAAAGATGTAATAGTACTAATAAATAGTGGGCAAAAATGGTATGTCACCTTTGATTTACCTTTAACCTGGAATGCAGACTTAATTCTGATGCATAAACACCAGGATGCACATAAAAGTTTACCACAAAAGGTACAAAACTTACTATACACTGAGGTCACTTAACAAAGGATTTGCTTTAATCCATATCTGATATAGGAAGACCCAAAACAATTAAATGAGTTAGATAAGAGAAGTGTTTTGTGTTCTGCTCTTTACTCTTGCTAGAGATGATTCTCTGTGTGTTCTGATCTATCATATACAAAAGAGATGTCTTTTCCTGATGAAGTGGTAGAGACATAACTTACAAATAATTCTCTCCCACCCCCACCAGAATATTCTTCCTGTGTTGCTAAGGAAAATCTGAAACTCCTGGACCAATATCCCCCAATTTTTTGAACTCCTGGTGTTGGTATTCTGGATTCAAGCACTGGAAATACAATTTTACATGTTCAAAAGGTTTCAAGGAACTTAAAATTGTATGCAAAAATTTTACAATTTCTTTTACAAGAAAATTCATGTTCCTATCATAAACATTCTGTTTTATTAGGTGGAGGCGGGGGGGGGGGCGGTGTGTGTGTGTGGAGTTTAGATATATCAATTCTAATAAACACTTTAGAGGTACTTAGGTTCAGGAGAATTCATAGAGAATTTGGTTTCTGCAAAGAATGGCTTTTGTTAAATTTTCAACTCAAGTGAGGGGTTCATGGGCATGTGTGGTGACTAGACAGATGAAAAATCTTAGCTTGTTAAATGAGGGACCAGACATGGATCAGATGCAACGTCAGATTAATCCTGATAGAGAGGTCATGTATATTCAGGGTATTACTCCCTATGTATTGTAAGACATTAGGGAGTTTGGGAAACAATCAGAGTACATAGTCTAGCTGTAGCCTCTAAAGAAAACTGTCTGCCCTTTATTGTGTTCTTTATATATCTTTTTCTTACAGAAATAAGATCAGAAGAATGTGTTTTAGATGGGGACAGGGATATAGAAATTCAAATAACTGCTAAGTTGCTTTTGTTTTTTGGAAGTACTTGCTATGAGCCTAATAATGGTCTAGAAGTACGTTACAGGTATCACTTCATTTGATTCTTCATAATTCTATGAAGTAGGTATTATTTTACTTCCTAATTATACAGTGAAGGAAGCTGAAGCCGAGAGAAGTTAAATAAGGTGACCAAGGCTTATACAGAGTGATAGTGTCAGAACTGAATTCAGGGGAACTCAAGTTACATAAGGACAATGCAGGAAACCTATTTGCAAAAGAGAGCTGACAAAATACTGTACATGTTTCATCTATTCCCTCGAATAGTAAATTATTTCTAATACTATGCATACTTTTGTCTTTTAAGAGCTTAGTATTCAATTGGCTTCTCTCAATCTGGTCTTCCTGTCAACATGTTCTGGCAAAAACAGCTGCAATAGCAACAAAAACAAAATTCCTCTTGACAATTTTCTGATTGGGTTGAAATTAATCTGATTTTTTTATAATTATAAATTGATTTTGCCATAATATGCAGAATTTAGTTGAAGCCTTTTAATTAAGCCTGATTTTCACTGGAAGACAGTTTTTTCTTAGTCTGGCTTTTCAGTGCAGCTTGTTCCAAGGCTGAATTTACAAACTAAAACCAAAATCTCTGCCAGCCTTTTAGTATGCTAGAGAGGAATGCAATACAACCAACTGACAGGACAGAAGGTTTTCTGAGGTACTATTAAACCATCATTAACCCTGTGTGTGTATGGCTAACTTCACAAAAAAAAAAAAATACAATTTCAAGCTTGCTGGGATATTTGATAATATTTACTTTGTTGGATAATGTTTCCCTCTGTGGAAGTTTGATGCCTACAGATTGTTTGAACCATTATCTATGTTAGATAAAATTTTCAAGGCCCTACTTCCAAGGCCTAAGTTCTTCAGCATACTTTCAGAAGTTCAATTCCATCTTAGTACAATATATTAATCAAAGTGTGGGAATAATACACTTAACTGCTCTATTATTCAACCTCCATTTCTGTTTTGTCTACAAGGATATTGTGAAAAACTCAGATAATACCTTCCTAAACTCAATTTATATGCATGACACTTATCTAACTTAATATTCTAGTTGCTAAATTCAAAGAGAAAAACTAAACGAGTTTTTTTGTAAGCCTAGGCTGTCTGAAAGTATTTACCACCTTCTGATTTAAGAAATTCCAAGTTTTCTGTTAATATATTGATCATGAAAAACTATTCAGTGAACTATCAGAAATGTAAGCAATGAGTCCAGACTCAGTTCCCTGACTTAAACTTTGAGCCCAAGTTAAAATGAATACAAGTGAACTGATTTTTTTTCTAATTCAAATACTTTCAGACAGATATTTATTCCTTAAGCAATGCTTCTTTTATGTCACTCTTTGTCAAAACAGGGAACTTAATCCTGGGGGGTGGGGGGGATACTGACTTCGAATCTTCTGAAATCATTTCATTATATGAAGGTCTCAAGACAACTGATAATAGTTGAAAATATAACGTGTGTGTTTTTTCAACATTTTGAAGATTAACTGAACTAAGTATGATTATCTGAACTTGCTTATAACAGGATTTGAAATTTTTCATCTAAAACATAGTTTTATTTTTAAAATGTATGGGTCCATTCTTCAAAAGTCAAAAATAGTCCACATAAATGGATGAAATATTCATGATAAAAAGTGAAAGATCTCTGTTCTATTACTTTGTAATAGGAGCAATTATTACTAAATGTATAGAGTCAAGGAATAATTTATAACCTATAAGAATTTTATATTGTGGTATATAGTGATAGGGGGAAATATTGACTTTTTTTTTCTTTTAGTATATATTTGAGATTTTGGATCAGAAGCTAAAATGTAATTTTTAAGCTTAATCCCTATAAATTACAGTTGAGTGAGAAATTTAAATGCTATGCCTATTCCTGACTTGAGTGATCTGAGGAAAAAAAGAATATAAGTGATTTCATGAAATAAAGTCATAATATTAGTTAATATGTGAATAAGTGAAAAATGGTTTATATGTTTATATAATTTGCAAACAAGATTACAACAGGGCCTAATGGAATAAAGAAGTTTGTAAATACAAATTTGTATAAATCTACTGGAATTTATCTCATAATAAAAATAATTGCCCATCAATAGAGATCACTTAACTGGAGCCTTACCTGCTGATATAAAACAGAAAAAAATAATAAATAAAGTGAAGTTACAGTATTAAAAAGGCATTATTCGTAATCCCTTAGATGAATGCAAACAGCACAAGTAAGGTTAGTTCTAGAGCATGTACTTACATTAATTGTTTGCCAACATGTTCTTAGCTTGGAGTTAAACCAATTCAATTAAAATTTCAGAAATTTAAACAGAATTTAAGTAGTAAAGATGATCTCTCTTTCTCTCATTTAGATTTTTTTTTTAAGATTTATTTAGTCATAAAGAACTGGGGTACAGGCCAGAGATGCAGAGGATGAGAGGATTCACCAGGAACAGAGTGGGGAGCAGAACAGGCAAATCGAAGAAGCACACTGCTGAGGGGAGCTGCTGAGGGGAGCAGCGGGTGGGTCAGGAGAGGTCTGCAGTGCCACCAGGACAGGCGGAGATGGAACTCAGAGGAAGTGGCTTAAGCTTCTAAGTGTAGTGCTTTAACCCACTGCGCCACCAAGGAGGGCCTCATTTAGAAAATTTTATTTTTAAATTAAAAGCATTATGCCTAGTGCACAACAGAATTTGGGACACATTTAAGGAGTTCATCATTTGCAAGCCCTATCACATTTTTATCTCCCTGCATTAACTAAGGAAGAGATGAAACTTCAATAATCACCGATATTAATCAGATTTAAAGATGATGAAATATAAAGACACACTTAAAGTGATAAGCTTTTGTAGACTATAGTAGTATATGTTATTCAATGTGAATAAAACTAAATTAATTCATCTATCCCTTTCTATTTATTTACATTCTTCAATTTATCAACAAATATTTACTGGATGGATACAACTATGTGTTAGGTAATGTTTTTTGAGGCAACAATAAGTTAAATAGACAAAAAGACTGACAAATTACATATATACAATTTGTAAATAAAATACAGGAAATAAATCACTGTAACAGGAACTAAAATGGGACATGAGATTAGAGAATTATTTTAGATAGTAGCTGATGAAAATGAGCATTGTCAAAAGAGAACACACATTTTGTCCTAACCATTCCTGTTCTCTAAATTATCTCTAAATTAGATATTTTTTCCTACCTAGGTTTCCTTTTACATGTAAAATTATTATTGTCTTAGCATACTTTCATCTCAGTTGTAATCCCCGTGGACTTCCCACCACCACCTCACCCGTGTGCCGTCACCATAACCCCATGAACTTTCCCACCGCAGTTTTGACCCTACCCCATCTCCGTCCCCATAGAATGTCTTTGGTTTATGGTAGTCTGTTGATTTCCATTTTTACTTTATTACAATTACTTTCATTTAAAATGTTTCTAAGACTAAAATTCTAGTGATAAATGTAAGAAATCTGAGACCTTTTGAGTTCAATATTTCTGAAGTAAAAATGTTTGCTAAGTGCTCAGAGGAGAAACTGCATCAGAGAAGCTTCCTTGCTTTAATTCCATGAAGATAATCTAAGGTGATTCATTAAACTGAAAGGTGTCTGCATAGTGAACTATCAATACCACCATATCAGTAAATGGGAACAAGGACTAAACAAAAGGTCTTCCAAAGAAGACATATAGATAGCAAATAGGCACAATCACACTTATCAGGAAAATAAAAATCAAAATGACAGTGAGAGACCTAGTCATCCCTACAAGTTGGCATCTAGTTTTTAAAAAAATCACTACTATAGGCTCTCACTGGTGGCACAACGGGTTAAAGCACCGCATTATGAAGCTCTCCATGCAGCACAAGTTCTGTATGCAGCCCAGTTCTGTATGCATAAATAAATAAAACTTTAAAAAACAATCACTGCTGGGCCTTCCCTGGTGGTGCAGCGGGTTAAAGCACAGCATTAAGAAGCTAAAGCATAAGTTCTATCCCCGCCCCCGAGATGACCCACATGGCGAGGTAGACCTCTGCTGACTCACCCACTGCTCCCTTCAGCAGCGTACTTTGTCAATCTGCCTGTTCTGTTCCCCACTCTGTCTTTGGGGAGTCCTCTCACCGCCCCTGCACCTCTGGCCTGTACCCCAGTTCT